TTGAAAGAAAGGGAGAAGAAAAAGATTAAACAAATAGTCATTGAAACGAACAGAAATAAAGAAACAAATATATATAAAGAAAAAAAGAAAAGATAATTCGACATTAAAAAAGAAAAAAAACACAGATAAATACCAAATACAAAGAAAAACACATACATACATACATACATACATACATATTCACATAGATAGATACAGATATACATATATAGTTCCATATACGAATAAAATACATTCCATTTTACAGTTTATACTCTCTTTCACCAGAGTTTCTCTGTGATTGGAAATATTATTATTTATTATTATTATTTATTATTACTATTATTTATAATGACATCATCATCATTTGGAGTAATGGATCTCGCCAATGTTTCCTCTACAAATAGAACTCCCACAAACACCGCCATGTTAAAAGCCCGCCTTACCGCTATTGTAAATGATATTCAAAGCACCAACACTCGAGAAGCCCAAAAGTCCCTTTTGGATCTTCGCACGGTTCTCGACACTGTGGCTGAGCAAAGTGGAACGCATGTACAGAATGTATTTGGACAACACGTAACGAATAATATTCTTATTGTTGTCTTGGAAAGTGTTGTGCGGCCGGCATTAACACAATACTGTGCAGCGATGGCGAAAAGACGACAATTCACATCCACACGTGCAGCTGGACGTTCTCATAATAATATTAATATTAATAATAATAATAATAATAATACTAATAATAACCATACAAGTATAAATGGAAGAAAACGTGGGGATTTTTTTCCAACCTCATCATCAGCATTAGCCACTGCAGAGGAAGAATTGGATGTAATTACAGAAAATCGGGCCAAACGTTTACGTGGAGAAGTGATACGTCCATGGCGTTCTTTAATAGAAACCCTTCATCAGAATTTACCATCATTTCTTAGACTCTCATCATCTATTAAATCCAACTCACTCATGACATCTAACAATATTAATAATAATAATAGTAATAATGGTAATAATAGTAATAACAGTATATTAAATTCCTCTACTACTACATCTATAGGAGGAGGAGTGGGAGGAAGAACTGGTAGGAGTTGTTCCGCTGCAGAAACAGAAGAAATGACATCTCTCTCCTTTTCCACTGCAAATCCAATAGCAACAGCCACAAGTGCATTATCTATTGGTGTGAGTCGATTACATGTACCGCAGGTGTTGTGGGAAGTGACACCCAATCACACCGCACTTCCATTATTATGGAAAAATGCCGTGCCGTTGTTTTGTTTGATGCGACATGCATTGGAAGTATTACAATCAGAAGTGTTAGTCACTGTATGTGGACAGGAGTATGCACAGATGTTACTTCAATTATTTCAATTTGAGGGGTATTTATCAAACCTACAGCCAAATTTTATTGTGGAACTTACAGTACGATTATTACGACTTGTGGAGAGAACTATGTTTGAACCAAACAGCACAGAAACTACTAATACTAATACTACTATATCATTAGGAGGTGGAGATGGTCAAGATATTAATAGTATGGGGATGAGTCGAAACGCCAATAATAATAATAATAATAATAATAATAATAATAATAATAATAATAATAATATGAACAGTGGTATGGGTATGGGTGGGTTATCAGAAGATGATGATAGTCCACGCCTTTCCGTGGAAGAAGGAACGACGTACGCGGCATTATTAGTCCAACTCTTTCGTGCACCGCAATTAATGAATGTGTTTATGCCTTGTGAAGATACAGCTGGAGTTGTGGAGATATCTACAGAAGTAACCATACCTCTTCTTATACAATGGCTTGTGCGTTTAACTACTCAACGTCATCTTCGACCTACAAGTGCATTACGATTAGAGGCTCATCTTTTAATGGCCCTTAATGTTCTTATTTCTGTTGCCCGTGATGATTATCCATTAGCCGCTGCAGTTCCACAGGAATTAGTGAAATGGCTTTGTCATTTTTTCTATGCAACTACACGGCGAGATGGTTGGCGTATGGAGGCCCTTTCCTTTATGACTACACAGATATGTGTTTGCTTCTCATCTGTACTGGGAGAATGTGTGCGGGTGGATATTGATCGAAATCGTCCGCATGTTTATTCTCTCTCACAGGATGGGGATGCTGCAAATAATAATAATAATAATAATAATAACACCAAGGAAAAGAAGAAGGATCATAGAGATGAAAAAAATGGTAAATTTGCATCTCACAATACACCACCCATTGCCCCTCGTTCTCTCACACTATTACATGAAATTGTATTACCATTTACACTACAACTCTTTACGGTTGCACGTAGTGAATTTAGTCTAGTCTCACGCCGTGAGTTATTTCACTTCCCATGTTCTCCATTAGCGGCATTATTTGATTTTGGAGCAGTCGTAGTGTATCTTGCTTGTTGTACCTATAATGCCTATATGGAACTCCCCTCAACTGCCAATGCTAATACGAATACGAATACTAATACTACTAATAGTAATAATAATAATGATAGTGTTGTTGTTCCTATGAACTCTACTAGGGCAGTAGCGATGGAGATGGGAGCGCAGGCATTACCGTTGAATGAAGAATCAGAAATGATTGGAAAAGGCAGAAAAAGAACTCGAGATGATAATAATAGTGTTGATAGTCATCCTAATGATCATGGGGAGAATAATGAATCTGTGGAAACTAAAGAAATAAAAGGACGTATGATGCCTATTCAACCAGGAGATAGACTCATACAGTTATTTCGTTCTCTTTTCTTCTTTGAGAACAAACAAGAAACAACAAGCAGAGTAAATACCGAAGCTCGACAAAGTGATGATTATCTTAATGAGATGGAAGATGATCCTTACGATACCCATAAAGGTATAGATAATGATTATTCTATTCCTACTACTACTACTACAACAACAACTACTACTACTACTGGTGGACCACTTAGTGCGGCGGCAGTACAAGATCTCGTCAAGGATGGTTCGCTCTTTCTTTTACATCTCTTAGCACAACCCGCCACGACTCTTGGCTTCAGTGAACGTCAATGTACATTATTCGTACAAAATGCACTTTTACCACTTTTTCCTTATTATGGTGTGAGACTGGAAACATTACTTCTCGCCGTTCTTCATGCTGTGGCCCCACGTACTTCTGTTGGATGTCAACAACAAATCTTTCGTTGGCTTGTACGTCGATATATTCCCACCGCCACCACCCAACGGGATGATGAGAGTCAACCAAAAGAACAGGTGTATCGTTTGTTGGGATTACTGATGGAGTCTGCGATGGTGGGATATCAACCACTACTTGTGCGAAGTGAGGAACGTGGAAGACTTCAATCCGCTGCACATTTTAATGCTATTACCGCACGGATTCGAGCTATTCTTCACAGTACACTTCCAACAGAGGGAGGAGGGAAAACAGTATTAACAACAACTTCAATATCTCCACCAGAGTCTAATAATAATAATAATAATAATAATAATAATAGACATAATCATTCTTCACCTCCACCTGCTATGATGGCTTCACTCATTGCTGCTGCTTGTGGTAGTGTACAGAATACGCGAACTGTTATTCCTGCTGGACTCTTTTATGCCATGTTACATTTCTTATCATCTTATCATCACTATGGTGCCATATCTCCAGAAATTGTTTCCAGACATCATGCTATGGAAAAACAACAACAACATAGACTTCATAATTCTTACAGAATAAAACATGGAAGTTCTTTAGTAGATCTTCCTTCAGTAGCTGTACGTCTTTCAACAGGTATTTCTTTTATAGTGACTGGTATTTCCCATGCTGTTTGTTTCTATCCACATGATAGTGGTGTGGTATGGCGTCATGATACCGATACTCCTGCTGCTTCATCGGCTGCAGCAAATTTCTTTTTACAGACATTACGTTTAGCAGAGGATCATTTATTGGCTACATGTCTCACAGCAATAGAAGGAGAAATGGGTTTACAAAACTCTCTTCATTCTACTTTAAGAGATGCGTCCTTTAATGGAACACATAAAACTATATCTTCCTCATCTTCATTTCCCTCTACAGTAGCCACTATGGGTAGTGGGAATAGTGTTAGTGGAAGTGCAGGTAAAACAGCGGCATCTCTGCAGAGAATGAAACAAATATTGGCACAATCACGTCGACTGATTGAATCATCATTTATTACACCACAAACACATGTACCTGCAGCGGCTTGTGAAGCTGCGGAAGGGCATTGGCTCTTATTGAATGAGTTTCTTTCTTCAACATCAGCAAGAGTAGAAGAAAGTTCATCTAATTTCCATAATAATAATAGTGGTAGTTCTTTTACTCATGCGGAGAATGGTGATCATGTGGAGGAAGAGGAATCTGAATTACATGGAGGACGACTACGTTATGGAGATGTGCCTTCTTCAGTAACGGAAGTATTAGCAGCGGAGATTTCAAAATCAATTGTGGAATTAGCAGAACGTGCACGAACAGCCGGGGCAGCCTCCGTTATGACTCCTGCAAATCCCAATCAACAACAACAAGAACAACAGCAACAACAACGCATTGTGGATGAAGATTCTGTGGCGCTTGCCCAACGCACAATTTGTATTCATGCTGTTCAATTGCTGCATCTTCTTCTTCGCCTCTATCGTCTTGGTGTATGGCACTTACCACGGAGTTCACGTCTGCGGCCCGGTGATAATGAAATCAACATTATAAACCCCAAAGAAGAAAAAGAAAAGGAAGAAGAAGAAGAAGAAAAGACGAGGTATAGTGGAGGAGATGAGGGGAATGATCTTCATATACTTTCGAGTCTACCAGCCTCTCTTCTCTTTGACGCCCCGGCGACGGTTCTCCGGCGTCTCTCACCGCGTGGTTCACTCTTCTACGCCGTTATGTGGACCTGTCGGCATATCACTACACGACTGCTGCGGGGATCTCTCGTGCGGGATCGTGCGGTACTGCGGGCTCTTCTTGTGTTGTTTGCGGATGTTGGCACGGTCTTGTTGGCGGCGGACTTTGCATTGTTTGAACCGCGGCAGACTCCACTCGCACTTGCGGGTGCGATTGCCCGCCGTGCACTAAATGCCGGTTTGGCTCCACTCAACAATACTGCTGCTGCTGCTGCGGCTGGTTCTACTGCTTCTTCTACAAACAATAATAATAATAATAATAATAATAATAATAATAATATGAATACACATACGATCTCTTCTGTGGGTTGTGAGGGCAGTACGGCGGCGGTGCAGGCGATGGTGCGATTGAGTTGTGCGTTATTAGGCGCTGTGCTCGCGGCTGTGCGGCACACACGTGTGATGGCAGCAGCGGCAGATCCTCTTGTGCAACCCGCACACGTTACCGCTGCGATTGTTGCTATTCTTGAACGGGATGGACTCCTCCCATCCAGTAATGATAATAGTAATATCCATAGTAGTAATAATAATAATAATAGTAACATCCATAGTGGGACGACGACGACGACGGGGGTTGTACGGGATGTGTTGAAACCATATCCGTTTCTACCGCCTTCACTTGTGGTGGTGGATGCACTGTTGAAGTTATTGCAAGTTTTACATGAAACATGTGAAGATGCACAGGCACGAGTAGCGGCACAGAAATTACGTGAAACGCTCTTTGCACGATATCGTTATGGTTTGGCTTTGGGTATATTTTGTACCTTTAGTAGTTACGCACCTTGTCGACCTTCCAGCGCTCTATCTTCTCTCAATGATGATGGTAATGATGATGATATGGATAATGGTTTGCCTCAACAACAACAACAACAGTTAAGGGTGAATGAAGGGAGAAAAACAACACGACGTACGGGTTCAAATGCATTCTTATTACTGGAAGAGGGACGATTACTAGAGACTTTTGTAGATCAATTAACCGACACTTGTCGAAGTGATATGCCAATGTTAACTCCACAACTTCAATGTGCGGTATTATCTAGTATTAACACCATGCTCTTCCGCTGTGAGGCCCGTGTAGCAGAGAAACTTGGTAAATATCTCTTCTCATTCCTTTCTACAAAGACATCCTATATGGTTAGACGCCACACAGCATTACAAGTACGATGGTTATTTAGTCGATTTACACAAAATGCCCTTCTCGTTCTTCATGAATTATTATACCGCGCAAAGGAGGGAATTGTCTCGTTAAGTCCAATGCTCTGCGCTACTAGTTTACGTGCTCTTGGTGAAGCTGCACGGGCGGCGCCGGTGATGGAGGCGGATATTATCTGTACTCTTCTGGAGTGTTGGGCAAGACACGGATTTGCACATAGAGGACTTATTATTGAATGTCTTGAACTTATTGGAAACTACACACGCGTTGGTGGAAGAAATAACTTGATTACTACCTCCACTACTATGATGGTAAGAAGTACACCTACAAGTGGAAATGGATATGGAATGAATGCTCAACAGTTATGTCAATATCATCGTGAACGATTACTGTTTGATTGGTTATGGCGATTGGGTCATCCCATAGAGGCACTTCCCCTTCACTGCTTTGGATATACAAAACCACATCACATGTATGAATCCCTCATCTCTACACTCTTACCACTCGCTCTCTTGTGTAGTGCCAGACGTGGGGATAGTGAAGAGGCTGTTGCGTTTATGAGTCCAAATGAACTCTTATGGCGATTAGCGGTTTGGTATAAACAAACAACCGATAAGGTAGAAAATCCTGTACGCAGTACTTCACTATTAACAGAATGTGTAGTAGCGTACTTTCCAGATATTATGTCCCGTTTATTTCTTTTTGCAGCGGCCTCCCGGCGATGTAAAGAAAGAAACCGAAAACAACAACAACAACAATATGAGGAACGATATGAAGATGTATCGGAAGCTGCACATTTGGCATTGGAGTGGTTGCGAAGTACACTTTCGCCTCATTATATATCTCTTGTTCATCATCATGCGGATGCTATTTTGTGTCGATTTGTAGAACTTGTTGGAGTTTTAACACCAATCGTTGGAATTCAACAAATGTACAATTCAGTTATAATGCTCTGTGAAACCATTGCGTTAACAAAGACGGTTGGAGGAACAAATACGTTATTATCATCATCATCCTCAACATCAATAGTATCTTCTTCAACAACAACGGCTGCAGTAACAACCACATTGAAACCCATTACACTGTCAGATCCATTATTTAGTGGATCAATAAAAACAAAAGTAGTAGATGCATTTTTTGCTAGTGATGCTGGTGATCATGCATATGTGTTATTACAACATTTGTATGTTTGTCTTACATATGGTTCTCATCGTGGAGAAAGACGTATGATGATAGTTTTACTTCTTGAAGAAATTATTAAACGATGGTGGAGTCGTGAATTATTAACTGATCAAGAAGTTCCACATATTCTCCATACAGTATTACGTATATGTGGAAATATTCTTATGACCTCTGTGGATGCCCGACCAACGGTTTGTAATGTCTTATTATATGTTTGGTCCATCGCCACTTCAAATAATAATAATAATAATAATAATAATAATAATAATAATAAAAGAAGAGTGACGGCTGCGGATGAGGCTTTTTTGTGTACAGTGTTGCTTTCATTATCAGAGGAATCTCGTGTTGTCGCTACCACGTGGACGGCTATTTGCCGCATAGACACAACATTGCAGGAACGAGATTGGCAAATGCATCACACACAATATAATAACGAACCAACACCCGTTAAAGGAGAAAAGGGGAATTCCAAACAACAACAACAACAAGTAGTAGTAGAAGTAGAAGAAGAAGAAGTAGAAATAGTTGAAGAGAAAGAAGAAAATGAAAGAATAAAAAAACAGGGTTTATCCACTTCTTTGGATGATGCTAAACGACGTATTGAAAGTATTCTTCCATTACTACGAACGAGTGTTCTTGTTTCTGGTGCACCGGCATCTTCTTTCTATGCAGAAGTGGCTGCCGCTGTGGACCACTCCCGTTGGGCATTTGTTAAATTCATACGCATGTATACACATAAGGAAAAGGAAAGTACAAAATCCTCTAGAGGGATATTAACTTTTCAGATGATTTATGAGACTTGTTGTCATGTAATTCAACATCTTTTTTCTCTCGTGTGTGCAGATGATATTTTTGTAAATACGAATGCTAATAGTACAGATCCATTTGCAGAAATAAATAATATAGGTGGTCCAGGGCAAATCTCTACTACTACTACTACTACTACTATGGTATTACAAGCTACTAATAGAGATGTTCAATTAAACGCTTTTCGTTTATTACGGGCTTTATGTTGGTGTTTTATAGAAGCCGGTGCGGAGAGTGATGTAGATGCTTTACTTTCCCCAACTGGTAAAATACAAGAAACACTACAAGAATTACCATTAGATGAGGTTTTACATCAATTATATAGACAACATGTGGAACAACTTTATCGACTCTCTTTTGATACCGATGCTTGTATTGCATATATCGCCTCAATAACTCTTCGTGGTTGGCTTTGTGGTAATACCACTATGGATAATAATAATAATAATAATAATAATAATGATAAAGATAAAAATAATAAAAGATGTGATATTGCAGAGAAACAAATAGTGGATCTTGCTCTTGATACATCATCTGTAAAACGTACCAAAGAGTCTGTAGCGACAACATCGCGTAGACGAAATGGTGGGGATGAAGGTCAACTTATTCAGCGAAGCCTACAACTCATTCGAGAAGATGAGAAAAGAAAAGAACAAGAGTCTAATTTTAATAGTGGTTCCACCGCATTTATTCACCTTGATGAGATTCAAGTCTTTCATCGACATCTTCATGGGATTCCATTATCTCTTTTTTATTTCTCTTCAGATGAGGAGGTGTTGTCTGTGGCATCTCTCCGTGATGAGAGAGTGTGGGATGCTTTACGTGTAGATGAAGATCCCACACGATTTCTTCGACTTTTTCTTATTGGACTTATTCGACAGTATAATCTCCAACATCGATTTAGTACAGTTTCTACTGTTCTTCACAGTATATTATTACCATTACCTTCCAGATGTTGGATGGGTGGTAGTCTTGTAAAGTTTATGGAAGATTTTTTACCTATTCTATTTCTACATGTGATGCTTCTTAAAGAAAGTGAAACCCAACGAGGACATCGTGTGGTGTGGTCTAATTTACTGGAAACTTGTCTCTTTCAACAGGCACGTCAATATCAACATACCACACGTTTATTTCTACGAGCTTTAAATATGTGTCGATCAGTGTTAATGACAGTTGTTCGTAGTCGTGGGATTCGGCCGGATAGTAATGATAATAGTATTAGTGGATCTCACCCATTAGCGCGTATGCTGGCAAGTGAGATGGAAACAGCCGCCCAAACACTTACGTTTCCACTGTTTACACCTAGTGCCTATGGTGAATTACCAGAGATATCCGATATGCGGGAGTCGTATTGGTTATCCGATGTAAATCCACTAACTCTTGCTGCGGCTGCCGTTACCTGTCATGAACCATATCTCGCTATATTATTTACAGAACTTAGTGGAGAGTCATTATTTGGAAAACGTAAAGGTATTCCTTCTGTTGCTTCTCTATCTGCTGGACAACAACAACAACAACAATCACACCAGCAGCAACATCAAAATCAACAGCAATACTCTATTTTGTTTCCCTCGGCTCAGCGTGCACAATATCGTGATACCCGTGGACGACAATTACGTGAAGATGAGGCACGTACAGAAATAGCCCAACGTTTCTTTACATTTCGTTCAACCGTGCAGAGTATTCTTGTAGATGCAGAGGCGGCACTGCAATTTCGTGAGGATAGTCATTGTGATGTATACAACAAGAATCGAACTAGTAATAGTAATGATGATGATGATGATAATGTAAATACAGATAATGTGGAAACCACTACATTCAGGCAATCACACAATTTACCGGTGTTGCCTTGTGAAAAGGGCACTGCGGAGTACTGCAGCACAACTCCGTGGGAAGAGGCATTCTTTCTGCGGCACCCAATGCAACGTATTGAACATGAGAAGAACTGTAATAGATGGCAGTCTGTTCTACTCCTGCTAGACCGTTTGGAGTGTGCTAATATGATAAACAATAATAATAATAATATTAATGGTAATAATGAGAGTAGTAATTATTGTTATTCCAAGACACGTTTATTATTGGAAAAGACAAATGCGTTAATGAATTTAGGTGCTACCGATACGGCAGTAGAAATGCTTCTTGCAGCGGTGAAGCAAAATTTCAATTCGTCTGTTGGTGTTCTTTCACTACAAGGTGAAAACAATGATCATGCCGAGTTAAGAGCGGCATTAGCCTCTGCACTCTGGCGTCTTGGTCGTTGGGATGATAACTGTTTAGAGACAATAGCAAAGGAACAACAACATCAACAGCATGAATTGTTATTACCATCCTTTGTTTCCATGGATGAAGGAATATTTTTTGCTCTTCGAAGTATTCATCGTCGGGATTATCATGAGGCACAGCGATGGTCTACACAAGCGCAACAGCAACTTGCCTGGCAGATTGATACAACCAATTGGTTTCACACAATGCTGCAAGCAGAGGCTGTACATTGTATTGAAGAATGTGGAAGACAATGTGGAAAACTTCTCTGTACTTCTACACAACCGCCACCAAAGTGGGTTAAGGCGAGATTATCGCATGTACATGCACCTTATCGAGAGTTAGAATTACTGGATAGTGTACAACAGCAGTTGTGTATTGCCTACCGTCAACCGCAGTGGTGGTTATCACATTTGGAGTGTTGTAGTGAGCGGGCTCTTCGTGGGAATAAACCATTTCTCGTACAGCAATGGCTCTCAGCATATCAGGAGGTCTCTTATCAGGTAATTCAGGATGTTAATAATAATAATAATAATAATAATAATAATAATAATAATAATAATAAGAGGAAGAGGATTGAGGATAATCAGAGTAAGAATCAGAACAACGAGAAGGATATAATAGTAAAGCATGTAAATGGTACTTCTCTGGAGAATGCGAGAACATTGTGTGGATTGCCAGTTCCGGCGTTTCTTGCACTTGTGCAGGCACGTGCGGAGTTTGTAAGTGGACAAACACATCGTGCCATTGCTATTTTACAGAACATAACAACATCATCAACATCAACATCAATGTTAGGGTCTTCATCCAAAGAAACAGGAGTATTGGATTCTAGTTTCCCCAACACTAATGGTTTTTGGTTTCCATTACCAAAAGATGCTCCTCTTATGCCTCCAATAGTTGAACAATTAGTGATATGGGCTAAAGAAGCCCGTTTGGTTCCTCTTTCACAATTAGTACGAGATCCATTCTTAACAGCATGTGCTAGTAGTGATCGCACAGGTGGATGTAGTTTACAACTTGCACGTATGTGTCATATGCTCGCACGTGATATCGCGACACGACTGCGTAGTGAAGAATATCGCACATTACAGCAAAGTATTGAAGAATCCCGTCGTATTCGTATAGAACTGGAACAACAACAACAACGCTCCGGTGCTGAATTAAGTGAAGAAGAGAGAAGAATTCTTCAACGTCGTATTCGTGTAATTCGTGTAGAAACCGCACGTGAAGAACAGGAGTGGATGCGGGAGGTGGAAACATATGCACTTTATCGTCGGAGTGCATTGAATGCCTATGCACGGTTTCTACAATACAGTGGACCGTGTGGATCTGATGATCTTCTTGCCGTCTTTGGCTTTGTCTCCTTATGGCTTCATCATGATGAGCGATTGGATGATCGACACTTAACGGAATCCACATGTGCGGTTTCAGCCACCTCGCGGGTTCTTCGCAAAGCGATGGAGAACACCCCACTGCATAAATTCCTTCCATTATATTCACAACTGGTCGCCCAACTGGGAACATCATTAGATGATGCCAATCTTGAGGAACTCGTCCTGCGTATTGCAATGGAACGACCATTACATGCGGTTTGGCCGCTGTTGGCACTTGCGAATGGACATCAGTTTGGACCAGCCGCAGCCGCAGCGGCAGCAGCGAACGGTGGTGGATTGCATGTAGTGGATGAGAAGAAAGTTACACTTGCACGTCGTATTCTTCGTACAATGAAGATAACAACTTCAGATGTTACTACTACTACTACTACTACTAATAACAATAAAAATAATAATAATGATGGGAGTAGAAGTAAAAATGATGATGCGGAATGGCGAAAACGGATTGTATGTGATGCGGAAAAACTTTCAGCGGCGTATATACAACTTGCTTTTTACCGTGTACACGATGGTCGCCGATCTGAACATCGTATTCCTCTAGATTTTATGATTATGGAGAGTTCCATGAAAAATTTATGTATTCCACCTCCTACATTAACACTTCCACACTCATTTTCAACCTACAACTTTACTACTAGTACTAATACTAATACTAATACTAAAACTAGTACATCATCATTCTTACAGGATCAATTGATGATGTTACCTCGGGTTGCATTTTATGAGGAAAGATTTACGACACATGGAGGTATAAACCTTCCTAAAGCCCTTCGATGTGTACTTAGTGATGGACGTATTGTGCGTCAACTTCTTAAATCTGAAGATGATTTACGTCAAGATAGTCTTATTGAACAAGTATTTGATTTATCAAATGAACTTTTAGCTAAAGAAAGGGCAACTCAACATTTACATGTTTCTACATATAGTGTAATTCCTCTTGCACCTACGGTTGGAATTATTGAATGGGTTGATGGTACTATTCCACTTGGTCATTATCTTAATGGTGAAGGTAGTACTAGCAGTAAGAATAAGTTACCCACAGGAGCTCATGAGCGTTATTTTCCTGGAGAACCAACAACACTTGAGTGTCGTCAGAGATTACATGATGCTAGCAAGACACAGAAACATGATACATTACTTGCTTTATATGCTGAATTCACACCCGCATTACATTATTTCTTTCTTGAACACTTCTTTACTCCACAAGAGTGGCTTGAGCGGCGTGAAGCATATACACGTAGTGTAGCTGCCTCTAGTATACTTGGATACATTGTTGGACTTGGTGATCGACACAGCAATAATCTCTTACTACACACCCAACGTGCAGAGCTTGTTCACATTGATCTTGGTATGGCCTTTGATCAAGGAAAACTTCTGCCAGTTCCGGAGCTTGTGCCCTTTCGGCTTACACGCAATATTGTGGATGGACTCGGCCTGCGAGGAGCCGACGGGCCCTTCCGCCGCCACTGCGAGGGCACTCTGCAGGTCTTGCGAGGGCAGAAGGAACTTCTCATGACTATTCTGGAGGCCTGCGCACATGACCCGCTGGCCCTCTGGGCAGTGACCGTAGTCCCGCAGCCGCAGCGGCGACCAGAAGAGGAGGAGAATGGGCGGAAAAATGAAAAGACAACGACGACGATGATGATGATGGGCGACGCCACACCGCGGCAGAGGGATTTAGGGGCGGTGCGTCGACAAAAGCCAACATTTGCGGATGCGGAGCGAACACTCTCACGCGTGGCGGAGAAAATTCAGGGATATGAGTCTGGGGAACTACTGGGCGTACCAACACATGTACACAAACTGTTGCAAACAGCACAGAATACAGAGTTGCTTGCCTACATGTTTGATGGATGGTCGCCATGGGTATAATATATATATATATATATATATATAAGGATTGGGTGTATTTTACCAGGGGATAAGAGAGTTGATTCTCTGTTTTTTTTTTTTTTTTTTTATTTATTTCTGGTGTATGGATCTCGGTGAGATCTTGAAAACCGGTAAGAATGAGGAATGTTCCTTCATTTTCTTTTCTTTTTTGTGATTGCGTTCTCATATACTGACAGAAGAGGAGAGAGAAAAAAGTATGATGAATACAGATTGGGTTATATGAGGGTATAAAGAAGGAACGAAAAGATATGAGTGAAACCAGTTTTGCTTGCATTTTTAATATGTTTTGGTATGTGTTTGTATGTTTTTTTTTTTTTTAATCTTTCTGATTACAATCTTGTTGTTTGATAAAGATATATATTTTTTATCTATCTCTCTTTAATTCCTCTTTCTTTGTCTTTCTTTTTATTTCTTTCTTCTTTATTTCCTTTAATGAATTTTATTTTTAGCAACCGTTGTGTTGTTTTCTTTTTAAAAAAAAAAAATTGTTTTCCCTTTTTTTTTTAGGGTATATCTTTATTCTTCTATCCATCTAAATATATATCTAATATATATTAGATATATTAATTGATAGATAGAGAGAAAGATTGATAGTTTAGATAGGTAAATTGATCCACAATCCTTATTGCTTATTATTATTATTGTTATTATTATTATATATTCATTCACTCATTCGTTCCTTTAAAAAAAAAAAATAATAATAATAAAATAACACCCCCTGCATTGCGTTGTGTGTCTCTCTCTCACTCACTACTTGTATCAGTCCAGATGTTAACACCAACGTCTACGAATCACTTCACCCGTGCGATGGAGATAACGCACATGTTTCATCCTGGCATCACTCAACAACAACGACGAGAGGCGGAAAGTTATCTCATGGCACTTCGCGCCACCGCTGAGGGCCTTAATTTATCATTTCACATCATCAGTAATGAACCACTTAGTGATGTTCGTTGTTGTTGGGCATTTAATACCATCATGCATCATCTGCCAAGTCTCGCCAGTGGTATTAGTGATGAACAGGCGGGGGAGGTGTATCGTACACTCTTCTCTTTTATTTACCGCTTTTTCTTCTCCTGTACAGCAGAGCAGCGACAGCCGATGGAGTTCCTCGCGAATAAACATGCCCAAATGATGGTGGCTGGTCTGCAGGTATTTTTTCCATCCCGTTGGCGATCTTTCTTTGATGATGCCTTTGAACTCCTTGCCCGCAGCAGTACTCTTCCACATGTGAGTGATGCCGTTACGGTGTATGTTCTTCGTCTCTTTGAGTATATTGATGAGCGGGTGGTGTCGGTGCGATCACGTGCAGATCGTGGACGGGAACAGCGAGCACGAGATATGGAATTAAAAGACGCTATGCGTGAACATGTAATGCCCCGTGCAGTATCTACATGGTATGTTATTTTATGTAATTGTCGTTTACGGGCTCCAGAGATTGTGCGTATTTGTCTCTCTGTTGTACAAACCTATATTGAGTGGGTAGATGTTACCTTATTTATCACAGCTGATTGGATCAATTTACTCTACTTTCTTGTGACGACACCCGCTGTTCGGGATGCCGCATGTGAGTGTATTTATAGTCTTGTAGAGAAGAAACAGCAGCCAGCGGCGAAGATGGAATCGCTGCGAACATTAAATATCATTGATTCACTTCCACGTATTGTCAGTCTTCTTTTACAAGTACCACCAGAGACAGAAGAGGATGTGAACTCTCTTGAGGTTACCGCAAGACTTGTACGGGCAGTAGCAGAACAATTGTTATCACTATATGATCATATCTCCACTACATTGGAGGAGAAGAATAAAAATACTGGTAATACGAATAATCTTAATCTTAATTCACAGCATCAAGAACAACAACAACAACAACAGCAGCAGGATCAATCTCATTATTACTCTTATCAAGGTAATAACACGGGTAATGATGATGGGAATAATACTAATACTTTTACTAATCCTAATTATACTATGATTAACGGAAAAAATAGTGCACTAGGAACACTTCCATCAGATGATGGAAACTTCACTGTGGAATCACTTTATATGGTGCGTACGGCATTAGATAATGTTCTTGAACAACTGTTACTTCTTTTAAGTCTTAATAACAATGAGGTAAGCAACGCTCTTTTACCATTTGTGCATATATATATTAAATCTACTGCATTACGTGAGGAACAAGCTTTACAGTTACTTCCAATACTGTATAATCACACAGTAATACGTGGAGCTTCTTTAAGAGAAGATCTTATCTGGTGTGATGAGGTGATTGATCAACGTAAACAATTACATACCCTTACACGTTTGCTTTTTCGCCGTTACGGCTCTCTAGTAAAACAACATTTGCAAATGGTAGTTAAACGCGCTGCTGGAATTGGTGGGGAAAATGGTGAAGGAGAAGAAGGGAGAATATTGTATGGTAATAATGGTGTATTAAATGGAAATGAAGCTACTGAAGGTCAACAATACCAACAACAACAACAAGGGCATTTTGAAGGGGTATGCTCTAGTGATAAATGTGTGAGTGGTGGTAGTAATAATAGTGGTGGTGTTGGAATGATGAGTAGCAGTAATATTTCTGTTGGTGGTGGTGGTAATTGTAATAGTAATAGTGGTAATAGTAACACTCCAGAAGAGATAGAGGCGGCGTTACGTTATTTCTATGAATTAGGAGAATATATTCGAATGGAGAATTTGCGGGATGCAAAAAATGAGTATTCAGAACTTCTTTCTATTGTTCTCTCTTCCGAGTATATTGCCCAGTGTCCATCTCCTGTGGTACATATCAGTTATTTTGAAGTCTTTGACCGCTACTACGCATTCTTTGTGTATCATAAGGAATATATTCCACTTTTACTGCAGCGATTGTTATTATTACCGCATGGAGTGACAAATCGTCATCCTCGTGTACGTGCACGTATTTGTTATCTCTTTGCGCATCTCGTACAACTTCTTAAGGGTAATTTACTCCCACACAAGCATGATATTGTTAGTGCGCTGTATACAATATTTTCCTCAGATGTGCTTTTACCAAATGATCGTCGGGAACTATATGAGGCGACAGGTAATTTATTAAGTGTGATGCAAATAACATCTCCAGCGGGAACTGCCAATGAAGGGGAAATGATGATTGTGCAGGTTACACAATCCGTTGTACAGAACCTACGCGACGTGGCCTCTGCCGCTTCATTAAATCAAGTTAGTACTTCTACTTCTTCTAATAGTGGTGTTGGTGGGGATTCTGCTTATGCGGAGTTGGTGGCGGATGCCATTTCGTTTTTGAGTGCGTTAGCGAAGGGCCTACGCGGTAATGGTATTGTGAACAATGATGCTACCCTTAATAATAATAATAATAATAATAATAGTAATAGTAATAGTAACACTAATAGCCCTAACAATAATAATAATAATACTATTAATAGTATTAGTCCTGTAGATGCGATTGCGGCGGATATCTTTCACGGTGTCACTCGTGAGGTGGTGAATGTACTTGTGAGTTGGCATGCCTCTGTTTCTGTGCGGGAGCGGGCGGCGCAGTACTTTACACAAATGGTCCACACACTTCCCTATTCCTGTATAGCCGTGTATGCGGCGCCTTATCTCACTCACACGTTGGGGTGTATCTCAACACCAGGGGAGTTGGCGCGGCTGCTGCGATTGCTGTTGTTGTTAGTCCACCGCAGCGGCGGCGGGGGGCGGGCGGCGGAACTTCTCAACTCCACACTTCCCGCTTTACTTCCACACATCGCCGCCAACATTGGAGGAGTGCAGGATGACTCCATTCAACCACCACCACCACAACAACAACAACCACTATCACCATCACAACTAAATCTACAATTACAATCGCAGGAATCTCAGAATTCGCAGGATCCACAGCAATTACAACAACTGGGAATAGTGGGAGGTGTGGAGTTGCAGTTGTGTAATGTGATCTCCGAGTCGGCGCGGGAGCGGCGTGAAGTTTACCGGCAACTCTTCGCCGTCCTGCACGGCGCCACGCAGGCGGGATGCACGTCGGTGTTGTTGGCACTTCCACACAGTGAACTCACGCCGCTGCTGCAACAACTACTCGCCGCTCTGTATCTCACAGGGGAGGCGGATTTGCCAAAGCTCGCACTGCAGATCATGACAAAGATGACTCAAGCCGCCGCAGAGAATACAAACAATAATAATAATAATAGTAATAGTAACAATAGTAACAATAATAATAATAATCAAAACAATAACAATAGTAATAATAATAATAATACTAACCATCATAACAACGCCTTTGGTAGTAATACTAGTGGAGGTGGGGGTGGAGGAAATACTTGTGTTGACAGTAGTGGGAATTGTATGTGTACAATGGATATGTCTGAGAGTTATCGGAATTGGCTCTTGTTCATGTTAAATGATGCTGTACCCACCATACTTCGTCGATTTCTCTCACCCGCCTTTGATGTGAGAGATGCGAAGAATTTATTTCTCATTGGTGAGTCTGGTAATCTTCTGAAGGCGTTAATGCGTGGACTTGGTCCATACGATTCCTCCTTATGTGTGTTGTTGTACACCACTCTGCAATCATTTGTTGGGGCGGAGGAGGCGGCGGGTCTTGTGAAGGTCCTGCAGGATGAAAGTGCGGGATTCTCAATGGAGATGAAGATGCGATTTCGGAATATGTTGCAGAAGGCTAAAGAACAACAAGGAGGATGATTAGAAAAAAACAAACAAAGAAGAGAGAGATAGAAGAGATTAAAGGGAAA